TATTAGATTTTTACTCGATTGCAACTAGTGTGTAACGACAGTGGAAATCTAGTAATTGGGCGATTATTAGATTTTTTCTAGTTGCAACTATCGATTTATCGCCCGATAATCGATCGATTTACTATTACTAGATGCACCTGCAGACGCATCTAGTTAAAAGTCCCTTTTCCAACTAGTAATCTAGATGGCAACTAGTCGTGTATCGCCCGATTACAGACGAAATGTATCTAGATTTTTCCCATAGGTGATATTTGCTTGGGTCAAGCCTTCTATACGATGATAAGGTACCTCCGCCACAACTTTTGGGTACCCCTAAGTATGCTGTCAATAGCAGCTTATTTCACACTAACAAAAAGCAATATTTCACAAACCTTTCCCTGTGCTCTTGAAATTTGATGAAAATTTCAAATCGGCATTTCAGTATTAAAGAAGAAAGAATCACAATTATGATTAAAAGTAGAAAAAAAAGTTCTTCTTTTTATCGAACAATGGAAATACACAAATGATAATGTAATCTGGATATAGAAAACGTAGATGCTTTTCGATGCTTTATTTTATAAGAACTGTCAAAATTGTGATCCTCGAAGGAATAAGGTGGATTTGCTAAACTCACTGAATGATTATTAAAAGATTTTATGAAATGCTTTGTTGACAGTAGCTAAATAGAACAGGGTGGGTGAGGGTGAGTTTTAAATAAATCACGATTCGAAAGAGAAAGCAGAAACCAAAGAATCCAATAAAAGATTATCTCCAATCATCTCATTTGTCCACAAACAAATTTCTCCGCATCAAAAATTCTTCCGAACGACCACAGTCGATATGTTCCACGTAAGACGAAAACTTAAGTGGAAAGAATAACTGAATCAAGGCACGAATCGAACCTGCATCTTCCAATAACCGGTTGGCTGCTCTACCGTTATGCTACTCCTTATGTCACCCATGAACTCCTGTTGATGGTCATCCTGGCTGTCGTCACACCCTCATGTGAGGTCGATCCGCACTGGATTACAAATCACCAGAGTAAGTCCTCGACTCGGTACCTTATCATCGTATAGAAGGCTTGAGAAAAGTTTCTTTTTGTATGAAGTGATAGAGAAAACGAAGCTCTATTTTTCTATGCTATTTGATCATACTTCAACCAATATCGTAGTAATAAAATTTCGATAAGAACTGTTTTTGTGTAAAATTTACCTAAAAACGAAATATATCACGAGATGCAGTGTGAAAAGCTCTACAATTTATAAAGGACAGTTTATTTTAATTGTGTACTTTTTGTTTTTAAAAAAAGCAAAATTCCGTGAGATCAACTTTCGTAACAGTGAAAATTGATCGCACAGAGTTTTGAAAACAATTTAAATAAACTGGGTGATTTCCACCGTAAAAAACCACGTTTACAGAAAAGTTTGTGGCATGGATGGAGACCTATCTCATTCGAAAGAGCATCAAATTCTGAACAAGAAAATGTATTTTTCAACTTTCCAAACCCCTGCGAACACCCCCGGAGTCGATGTCAAGACGCGAAAGCAATATCCCAACATTCTTTTTTCTTAATTCATCTTTTTATCATATAATACGTTTTATTAAAAAAAGAAATATATCACGAGGTGCATCGTGAAAAGCTCTACAATTTACAAAGAACAGTGGCGAAATCCATGGAGACAAAACCAGTATATACAAAACGTTTGTCGCATTGATGGAGACCTATCTCATTCGAAAGAGCATCAAATTCTGAACAAGAAAATGTATTTTTCAAGTTTCCAAAACTCTGCGAACACCCCCGGGAAAATCATGGGGATTTAAACTTTCAAGGTTTTAGGGCATATTTGCATTGCGACTTTCTCAACCAAATCAAATGCTCGTGCTTGGAAACTTTCAGATCATATAGAGCAGGCAATTCTGACAACTTTGCCTCCAGAATCAACTCTCTAAGTCATCACCATCATGTATACCATCACTTTCAAAATGGCGAAATATTCAAAAAGGAGCTATTTTGAAATACCTTTTCTGAGGCCAAGACGACCTTTAATTTCAAATCTGAGTAGTGCATCGGATTCAGCATCATTTAATCTATCTGAAACACCATCTTTGGTTTTTTCAAGTCTCTTTGCCGAGTCTCCTGAGAGAAATCAACGAAGATCACTTTCAGGTTTTTGGCGTTTTTGCCCAACTTGTAACTCATTTTCTGAGATCTTTTCCCTACTTTTAGAGATTCGGATTCAGCGCACTCGATTCTATACGAATTCGTTGAAAACCCAACCCTCCATCTCCCGTTTCTGAGTTATGCTCATTTTAGCCTTCTAAATCACAGACTTTTCGATTTACAAAGCTGAAATTTACAGTTTATAGGCAGTTTTTAATGCTGATTCTAGTGCCATTTTTAGAAATTAATTTGCCAGAACTCTGCAAGGCTTTTTAGCCGGATTTTTACCTAAGCGTGCTCTTTTATCGTGGTTTTTCAAGGTTTTTTATTCTTCATTTAACTTATTTTCAGAAAAGGTGTCTAACAGATGAACAATGAAACAAAACTTTTGTTTCATTGCGTGAGGCATTACGTGAGCTATAGCAGCCTAGAATTCAGAGTAAATGTCTTCAATACTAGCTAGTTGTTGGGCTGATATAACAATACCGCGTCTGGTAGCTTTAGGATGTTCGACGAGTCGCGCTATAATCTCGTTAGGAAAAATCGTAGACTGATTTGGAGCTTGATTGGGTTTTGGAGAGGAGAAGGATAGAGATGGACCAGCTGGATGAAAGAACTGTAGATCAATAGAGGCCCTAATTATATCGACACCAGTTATTAGAGCTAAGGACCACTTATCTAGCACTTCTGCCACAATATAGTCATTTTTGAGCAGACCGATGACACTATGAACTCGTTTAGCTGTCTTTTTATCACCTTTGGTTAACATTTGATATAGTTTCGAGTCTGTTGAGCATGAGGTATAGCTGGCTTCAATCTCACCTATCTGCCTTGAATCGAAGTGATGATACTGTCGTATTCCTTTTATCGGGTCAGCCGTAGGAAGTTGATTCCATCGCTCCATTAAAGTCGAACGAGTGAGCTCAACATTTTTACTATCCAAATAAAACACCTAAAGCATAGAAATAAAGGTTTCAGATTCTATTCGTACAGTCACTTTATCTCACTTGTAAAGCTCGTTCAGGTTCAGCTCCACTCTTGTCGACAGATTTGAAATGGTCGAGTTTTTGTTTTATGAAGTGAAAAAGAAAAGATCTATCTGGACCACTAGATTGCATGATATGCCTCGTTGCAGCTGATTTTACAATTGGTCGCAGGCAGGGGTGCAACCGACCGGTACCGATATGAATTATAACGGCGACCGGTATACCGGGATTAATATGAAGTAGAATCAGTCGGCCGATATTTTGCGACAAACGTTTAAATTCAGTTCATTATTGCCATATTTCTTCCACTAAAATTCCATTCCGATTACTTAAACTTTGTCGGCTTATATAAACTTCTTAATTTAAAAGAACAAATTGGATTGCTGTTTCGGTTATAAAAAGAAGCGTGTGAAAAATCAGCTATACGTAATCAAAGTGAAAAGATTTATCTATCTCTTTGATAAGTAATTGAACAAAAAAAAGAGTAATCAGTTTCTTTTGTTGAATATTAGTATACTTCTTCACATGTATGAAACATAGAGAATACTTTTTATAGGAGAGATATTCGTTTTTAGAACAATTTTTAGGTGTTCTTCTCCTGGATTCGATCGTCCGGCCTTTCATACGCTGTACTTCTCCAACTATGCATTTTCCCATTGCACTAAATTGTGCAAAAGGAAACTACGAGTTATGATGATACATTCGTATGAAGGCCGTACACTTATCTATATATTTAAATAGTCTTTACAAGTGATTACTGACATGTTACTAGCTATACTATACAACTAGCAGTCGCTAGTAAAAGTATCCGTCGTACGCAGTCGTGTAGACGTTAAAAATAAGGTCAACACTTATGTACAGTATAGCTAGTAACATGTGAGTGATCACTTGTAAAGACTATTTAAATATATATATATGTGTAGGGCCTTCATACGAATGTATCGTCATAACTCGTACTTTCCTTTTGCACAATTTAGTGCAATGGGAAAATGCGTAGTTGGAGAAGTACAGCGTATGAAAGGTCGGACGATCGAATTCAGGAGAAGAACACCTAAAAATTGTTCTAAAAATGTATGAAACATGTTTAGAAACATGATTTAGACTTTAATTCAACTGACTCACATTCTGAATAACTGTAAATAAAATTCACGGTACAGAAAAACAAAAAAAGTATTTGTATTTAAGTAAAACATAATCAAGACAAGCCGGTACCGATCGGTATATCGGCCGGTACCGATATCGCAATTTTGATATCGATTACACCCGTGATTCCAGGCCATCTGGTGGACCTTTACCATGAGATGTGGCCGAAAAACACCAACCGGTATCCAACCCAAAATCTTTTTTATGATATGTAAGGTCCAGCATGTTGAATTTATTTTTAAAATGTGCTGTGGCTCCATCTGAGACGTACTGAATATGAGTGATGCTTCGGTTTTTAGCTTTAATAAATGCACAAATAATTCGCTGCGCATTGTGCACAAAGTGTATGCACAAAAGCGACTCTGCTCTTGATTTAAATGAATACGATACCCTTACAACATTTCTCACCTATCCTAGGTGTGAGCACCCGCCGAAGGGAAGCGTGGACATGGTGTTCAATCTAGAAATATTTTTAGACCTATGGGGAGATCTTTGAAGGGTCTCGGGAAAACTTTTAGATTTACAGTAGATTATGAAGCTTACACAATAGCGAACACCAATCGAAGGGATGTGTGAGCGTTGAGTTGAATTCACAGTCATGGAAAGATGTTTGCAGACATAAATTCCAGAACGATCTGTACCGTTAAATTGAGGAGAATTTTGATCGGATTACCAGAAACTCTGTAATTGGGAGACAGTAATGTCTGTGGTTGCGTGTTAGAATTTTAAAATTATGAAAACTTAATAATTTAAAAGCAATTTTACGGTCAAATTTTAAAATAAATATTTTTTCATTAATCAAAAGATGAATACTCGGGCTGCTAAAACTACAAGTCAGACATTTATTGTGAAACTTCTGCTGTTAGCATATAAATTTCCTTAAGACCTTGTCTAATGCCACATATACACGCTAGTAATTCTCTGTTCGACTTCTGCTGCTCGATAGCCGACAAATCAAATCCTCCTTGTTTCTTGGTTCGAAGCGACATTTAAATATCTTGGGCTCGGCTACGAGAGCCGTGGTACATCCATTGGCTTTCATTGCATCCAGTACCATTGCGTGCTCCTTGTTCTCAGGTGGAAGGATTCGAAATGCTACGATGAGACGGATAAGAAATGTAAACATTTCTCGATTCGCTAGATGAGCTCCTGCACACATTCTGCTTCCAGCTCCGTAGGCATAATGAGGCGTACCATCTGTTTCGCCGAGATATCGCTCGGGATTGAAGGTATACGGGTCTTTAAAGTGGTCTTCGTCATAATCGCCGGCGAACGCGTTCATGTAAAACGAGGTTCCAGCAGGAATGACGACTCCGTTATATTCAATGCTTTTTATGCTACGTCGTGGGAGGCACATTGGGATGACGGTGTAGTAGCGCAGAATTTCCTTGTAAAGAGCAGTGACATATGGGACTCGCTCTTCGACCAGACACTTTTCCCACGCGTCGCCGTGAGGGTAGACATTTTGAATTTCTGCGTATGCTTGTTCTTGAATGTTTTGACCATGTGGCGACGAGAGATAGCCGATGCCGAGAATGATATTCGCAGGGACTGTGTCAAGACCAGCGCTGACCATGGTCAGGCAGATACTCTTGATTTCGGCTTCGTTAAGCTTTGCAGAAGGGTCTTTAAGAATGTTGCCGGTAATGCATGGCTTATCAATGCCGTTGGCAATATCTTTCTTCAAGTCATCTAGGAGATTTTCAAGGTAACGATCACGACGAAGACGGTAAGAGTTTGCCTCGTTGGATTTGGTGGGGAAAATGCGAAGAAGAGGAACGTAATCTTGCCAGTTGTTGGATGTGGATCGGAATCGTGAGATTGCGCCCTCAACTTCAACGATTTCCTTGAGAAGTTTATCGGATGAAGATGAGATACGCGTGCCATAGTTGAGCGTGAGAGAAGTATTCAGAGCAAATCGTTGAAGATGAGGAATGACATTAATGTCTGCCCGTCCGTCTTCGGATTCATTTAAGATTTCATTGATTGCAGAGTATGATTCGAGGTCGATGATTGGCATGTACGATTGCACAGCAGGTTTATTCAATGCTGTTGCAGCTGCCTTGCGACGTTGTTTGCATGACTCATCCCAAGGAGAGGTGCCAATTGTAAATCCTTGGCTGCTGCTAAGAACAGTGTGGAATGTATGTAATGTAGGCCTACTGATGAGTGAAGATTGGTTTTTGATCCACAATTCCTTGATAGAATCGTATGAATTTGCGACGATAATTCGCTTATTCCCCATGCGGATTTGAAAGACTGAACCAAGTTTCTTAGCCATTTGTGAAAGGGCAGCGGAGTGATTCCCTCCTAATTCAAGTAAACTTCCAAATATAGGCCAGCCTGGAGCTTCTGGAAGGCCGTGGATCTTGGGGACGTCTGTAGAGTTGAGGAGTTTAAGGAGGATACATACGATGATAACGACGCAAATCCACACAAAAGCCATTGTGTGATATGAATGCAACAGTCAACGTGTGTTGATCTTCGAATATGCGAGGTTTTTTCGTTCTGCACTTATACGAATAAGCATCGGTAACAAAAGAAAGAATAAAACTAAAATAAAAAAGGAAGATTGTGACTAATGTAAATGAAAGATAACTATTTTCACATGTTTCATCTTCATGTTATCAATACTCTTGGTACGAAAGTCAGATTACAACGTTTTCATTATTTATTTCAACGTTGATTTCATTATGAAACGTTTTCTAAGAGCGCCACGATCGATATCTCCTTAGGTGTGGTAATTCTGAAAACGAACGGAAACATAGGAAATCGATCACACTGAATCGCGTGCCAAAATTTGTTTTTCAATCAAGTTTCAAACACCTTGTGAAAACCTATATTAGGTGAAATAACCCATTTTTACCTATTTTTGAGTAAAATTAAACAATTCATAACCCATCTACCCAAATTATGCCAAATAGCAAGCTGTGCCCTATTTTACCTGCTCTATATGTTTTTCTACTTGAGAATAGTAAAAAACATTCTTGTACTTCGGAGAATTTCTAGAAAACCTTTTCAAAAACCAGGGTGTTTTCTGTTGATTTGTAAAGTTTATATTGAACTGCAAGTATTGAGCAGGTAAAATACAGTTCATCTTGTTATTTCGCATAATTTGGGTGGATCTTGATTGGGTTTTGAATTCTTTAATTTTACTCAAAAATAGGTAAAAATGGGTTATTTCACACAAGGTGTTTGAAACTTAATTGAAAGACAAATGTTGCCACGCGATTCAGCATGGTCGATTATCTATGTTTCCGTTCGTTTTCAGAATTAGCACATCTAAGGAGATATCGATCTTAGAAAATCCGACGCCATACCCGAAGCAGAAAAAATTAAGCGTTCGCTTAGTTCTGATTTTCGAGACGACACATTGGACTACCTGCCTATGAAAAAAAACTGATAGATTGGTATCTCACTATCCGGAGATCCGGACTTGCTTTCAAAAGATCCCCTAGAAAGTCAATCTTCTGAATGTTTTCGGAAAACTGTTTGCTTCTGAAAACATAGGCTAAACTGTCTTCTTCTCATCGCTGAAAACCGCTGGTCTCCGGCTTTTGTCGTCTTTGAGTTAATGATCATACGCTAATTAGTGTGTGTGGTGTACATAGAGTTAAAGAATCTTTTATCTTATTTGAATGTAACAAAGACGATAGTGCCAAAATAACATGATTTTATAGGTTTCAAAGGGTCTTGTTTCCAATGCCTTATTCAGAAACAGCACAGAAATGTTTTCTTGCCTGGTTTCGAGAGATCCCGGATCTCTGGAAGACTTTTTCGGTAGTTTTTGTCATCTTTGGCAGACATTATACACTATAGACGAGCAGCTAACTGAAATTTGTATCATTGATTTCTAAACACAAAGTGGTTCTTAGGTAGATTTTTAGAAGTTTTTTAAAGCTTTTCTAGAAAACTCACAGACACATAATATTATAGAACATCGGAATTTGATTCAATTTCTGTCACCGCCAAATCTTCACTCTGTATTATATAACAGAATATGGTAATTTCTTTTCATTCTTTTTTGAATCCAAATAATACAATGATTGTTCTTCTTAACTGTCCTTTATACAAACAAATAAACAAATAAATGAACAAAAGAGAGAAAGCTGTTTAAACAAAGCAGTTAGCACGTACTGATATACTTGTGTGAGCGAGACTCTCTGACCAGAAAAATATTTTAACATTATAGATTTATAGAGGGTACTCGAAATTTCAGAAAAAGCTGATATCTTTTATTTGAAAAATAAAACGCGCATGTGGAAATAATCAAAGCAAAACGAGCATTTCGTTTATCGTCGGTTTGAACGTTACGATAGCCTTCACCTGTTCAGCCGGTGACTGATAGCTCATTGAGGCAGGAACACAAGTTTTTTGTCGAAGTTTTAGGTCTCATCATCCATTCACGTGGCCAGGACAAAATTTTGAGCCTGGTACGATGCCCATCTCTCAACCAAAACTGATCATGCCAATTGGGATAATCATTAAATCAGAACAGAAAGTCGTTTGTAATGAAATTCCGTTCCAGTGGAAACCTCACTTATCTCTGTTATTTCACTATCGAACGTTGACATTAGCCCAAATTCCTGTCCCCAACACTACACTGAGCTAGGTTAAGCTCTCAATTTTATGCAGAGCTTTTTCCTTTTTAAAACTGTAAAACTTTTACATTTTTAGTTCGAAATTCAGACAGAGATCACTGTATAAAAGGAAAACAGAATTTCCTCCATCGGATGTCCAAGTGTTAGAAACTACAGGACTCACTTAAATACATCACACCGACTTCAAAACTCTAGAACGTAAATATTTAGGCTATTCTATATCATATTAATAACAAATAAAAGAAAGGGTTCCACAAACTCTAATGGTTTCCTGAAGGACTTTCTTGACACCGATGGACAGAAAGAATAACTTTTTCAGCTTTCTTGAATCACGCTTAGTGCGTAAAACTAAACATATCACGTATTTCAATAAACATACGATGTATTTCAAGCGATTTATGAGATTTCTAATATTAGGTGAAAACAGCGTCAGAACTCTAATTTTTCGTAAAGCTTACTTGCCACCAAGTTTTTCTTCTAAAACAAATATTTCTATCAGATTCAGCGTGTAACGGTCAATTAAAAATAAAAGTAACTTTTTTGTGGTCATGGAAGTCAACCTACACGAGAAGAGTTGAAATCAAATTTTAACTCACCCAATATAACTGTTGAACTAGTGTAAGTATCTTTCAAGGGACAACTCTCGTAATTATTCAATGTTTTAATTGTTGTAAAACGGATCTAGGCTTGGAATGTTCACCATTCCTATTGTTTTCTTTGAACTCTAAAACATGTTGACGTTCCGGCGAACGTGAACTCTGTTTTATACCAACGCTGTTGATCTTGTGTGAAATCTCTCTCTCTCTCTCTCAATGAAAGCTCACATACTCAGATCTTATGAGGGAACCTCTCGAGATGATAAAACACTTGTTGATCGAAATCTAGTGGATTATAGGTTATCGACCATGCTGATTCCGAATATGATTATGGGAGCTGCCTTTAACTGTACGAAGGTCCGTTTTTCTGGAAAACCAGGTTTTCAGAAACTCTGAAAGGTAAGAAAATTTTTTTCTTAATGAAGCGTGATTATAGACCGCAAATTTCTGATTAAAATGAGACATCTCCCAGCTCTACACGACCTTTCTTTGCAAAGTTATAGAATTTACACGAAAAGTCCTAAACTATAGCTTTGAGCTGACAATGAACATTTAGGGCTTTTCTTGAAAATTCTATAACTTTGCAAAGAAAGGTCATGTAGATAGAGCTGGGAGAGGTCTCATTTTAATCAGAAATTTGCGGACTATAATAATCCCTCATTAAGAAAGGTTTTCGTTACTTTTTAGAGTTTCGGAAAGACTGGTTTTCCAGAAAAACGGGTCTTCGTACGGTTAAGGACAGCCCATAATCATATTCGGAATCAGCATGGTCGATAAGCTATAACTCACTAGATTTCGATCAATAACCGTTTTATCACCTCGAGAGGTTCCCTCGTTAGTCTCATTCTCTCAAAGGAAACAATTGAATTTATAGAGCAATATTAAGTTTAATCTATTTATAATTAACAAGAATAAATATTACGAGCAAATCGCAAAGCATGCTATCCGATTACCTGGAAGCGTAATATAGAGAAAATTGCTAGAGAGATTATATAGACATAAAGAGGAAGGTAGATGCTTGCTTTACTATCAAAACATCTAAACGAATTCTATCTTTAGAAAATAAAGAGTTTGTGATAATGTTTCTTGGAACAATTTTACTAAAATGTGGGAGAGTTTTACTGGCAGTTAATTATCATTCACGAAGTTTAAGTACGGATGAAACGGATCCGTAAACTAAAGTCGTTTATAAATGATAAACGTAATTTTTGTTTTCCAGGTACAATAATTGGGTCTGTAGACTAATGTTAAAAAGAAAAATATTGAACGACAAATATTAAAAATCGATTAAATATTTTTCCACCTTATTTAAATATTAGTTTGTTCAATATTTTTCCTTCATTTTAAAATAACTAAATATTTTTCTATCCTATGCGAAAAATTTTAATATTTTTCTATCCCATTTATCTCATTCTAAATGAGGAGACTGATGTCACAATTTAAACCTACCAAGAAGATGCGAATATGTGGAATCTGACTTTTGTACCTTATTTAAATATTTTTCTATCTGAATAAAATAATTTAATATTTTCTATCCTAGGTGGAAAACTTCAATATTTTTCTGGCTTACAACACGAAAAACATTTATTAGTTCAGATAGAAAAGATAAAATCAAACAAATAAGTTTATTTATAATAAATCGGATTTGAACAGGGGCGAAAAAAGTCAAAGTAAAAAAGCACTTTTTGGTAGTAAATCGTAGTGTTTTCTCTAAAGATTGTTCCTCTAGTAAACTATGAAACAAATGTTTACAACAAAGTCATGATCGCACAAGAATATACGGTATATCTTCGTACAGAGCTTATTCTCATTAAGTTACTGCTTTGTTATTAAAAGCTTAGCCGTCATAATGCTCTTCTTCATTCAGTGGCAGACAAAAGTTTAAGATCACTTTTGTTTCTGGATTTTCTTGTGGACGAAAGTGGTTTGAAGATATCCGACGACAAACGTGTATAAAGCACTTTGAAGTAGCTAGATACATGATTAAAAAAATTTATATAGAATTAAAAAAATGAGCCTTTAAAAATTTAACAAGCCAAAAGTTTTGAAAGTATTTAAAATTAGCTGAAGTCCTTTTTGATCGTTCAGAAAAATAAAGCAGACTTTTGTTATCAAAATGAGACGTTTCGCAGATTCCTGTGACCGAGCACATCATCTTTGTAGTCTCGTTCCTACTTTCCTGGCTTTTCGTTATTCTTTCTCTTGTTCAATCACGTAGACTGAAACGAAAGCTATTTCAGAGTAATTCTCAGTACTTCACCATACTTCTGTACTTTAGAAGTACGAAACTACGATGTTTCTCTTTGAGCGAACTACTTCATTGACCTCTACTCTCCAACTTTCTTAGTCGGAGAGCTTTTACCTACATCCGACCATCAAATTCCAGTGAAATATATGAATTTTTGCTGTGAAAATTGAGTAGAAACTTACAAAACTAGATATAATTTACTTTCCGACCGTCTGCACTGCGTTTTATTAATGAACAGTGATTGATTCATCATTGTCGCGTAGCGTACGGTATGATGTACAGATTATATTCATGAGTCAAATAAGAATAAGAAGAACTGTCGAGTTAACAATACAAAGAAATAATGGATGTACAGCAAGACAGTCTACGCCGTTTTTGTCTTACCAAATAGAAAAAATATTTAGATTTAATTGATATTCTTGAAACATTAATTGCAAACGCTACCTAACAACTTATTAGCCTTTTTCTCATTTATACTCTATTCTTTGTATCAATGCAAAACATTTTCACATCTATCATCACTACGTTCTAAAACACTACAACTACTGATCTTCAGTCATGAGAAAAGCTTCATCCGATACTAATGTACCACTGATTGATTTATATTTTATGGTGCATATGTGTCTTGGCCCATTGTATTTGGTGCCCATGCATGTCAGAGGCGGACGGCTCATTTTTCACATAGCAGATAAATTGGTAAAAGCCGGACTTTTTGCAATATACATTTTTGAATGATTCGTAATGGTAAATGGGACAGGACCAAGCTGTGACCGATCATCGATTTCAAAAACCACGACCAACAACCAAAACATTCTCCCTTCTTTCAAATACTTATTTTCGAGATATTTTAGCTCAAAGATCCGTGGTACAGCGCTGTATAACCCGTAGCTCGATGAAATTTGGTCTTTAACATAAGACAAATTCTCTTAACAAGCAGTGGTTATCTTGGCAGTTAAATGAAAAACAAATACGTTTAATGATTTTGTATCTAACAAAATGTTTCTTGATAAGAAAGTGAGCGTGAATACAAACAAACGAAAACTAACATGCACTGACATTCTTGTCTTTTTCTTTTTTTCTTGCATCTTTACGGTGCAGCCGATGATGAACTCCACGGTTGACTCGCTCCACCCTGTCCAGCACCCGATCCACCGACGCCTTGCCCGGCTGATGCTCCACTGGATGAATCAGCAGATGATTTAGCTTGACTCGTTGTTGACATGCCGGCAAAGTTCGAGTCGCCCAATGCCGATGAGCCTTGTGGCTCAGCTGTTGATGCCGATCCTAATTCGCCTGATGTGCCCGTTGAACGATCTGCCGAGCTCGAACTCAATTTTGTCGAATCTGTACTTGTGCCACTTTTATCTGCTTGTTGAGACATTTTACTTTATAATAAGAAACGGGTGTATGTGTGCGTATATTAATGAAAAAGAAAGAATGAGAATAATAATAATACAACTATAGCGTTTTTCTTTTCTTTACTTATTCACGTTATATATAATAGAACTGCGACAAATAGCGATTTTCTTTTCTTTTCTTTTTTTTTTTCTGTTTTCTTTTCTTATTCACGTTATATATAGTGTGTGCTCACGTTGCAATGTACGGTACACATATATAACATACATTAAGACTGTTGTCTGTGTAGAGTGATGTCACGTTTCTTTCTT